AACATTCAGAAAACTAAGATCATGGCATCTGGTCCCATCACCTCATGGGAAATAGATGGGGAGACAGTGGAAACAGTGTCAGACTTTATTTTGGGGGGCTCCAAAATCACTGCACATGGTGATTGCAGCCATGCAATTAAAAGATGCTTACTCCTTGGAAGGAAAGTTATGACCAACCTAGACAGCATATTAAAAAGCAGAGACATTACTTTGCCAACAAAGATCCATCTAGTAAAGGCTATGGTTTTTCCACTGGTCATGTATGGATGTGAGAGTTGGACTGTGAAGAAAGCTGAGCACCAGAGAATTGATGCTTTTGAACTGTGGTGTTGGAGAAGACTCTTGAGAGTCCCTTGGACTGCAAGGAGAGCCAACCAGTTCATCCTAAAGGAGATCAGTCCTGGGTGTTCCTTGGAAGGACTGATGCTGAAGCTGAAACTCCAGTGCTTTGGCCACCTCACGCGAACAGTTGACTCATTGGAAAAGACCCTGATGCTGGGAGGGATTGGGGGCAGGAGGAGAAGGGGATGACAGAGGATGAGATGGCTGGATGGCATCACCGACTCGATGGGCATGAGTTTGAGTAAATTCCGGGAGTTGGCGATGGACAGGGAGGCCTGGCATGCTGCAATTCATGGGGTCGCAAAGAGTCTGACACGACTGAGCGACTGAACTGAACTGAAGAAGGGAATACAGTATACAGTATTCTCTAATCGTAGTTGAACTCCAAATGCTTTTTCTCACAAGACAACTTAAAGTACTCCATTTTCCTGAAACACACCTGTAAAATGCTGCCATAAGCCAAACACTTAAACCAAATTAAGTGACTCTAGTTTTATCTTTTATTCAAGTAAGCTAGTATTTCCAAAGTATACCAATGTCTGATCCACCATTTCGGTAGAAAAAAATTTCATGTGGATGAACTGTCTACATAACTGAAGCTTCAGACACCAAAACAATTAAATTATTTTATCTGAAAATCTTTCTGAAGTGTATGTACATCTCTACTTTTTATTATGAAAAACAAAACAATTCTGAGTATAAAAGTAAACATATGCTTATTTTTAAAATCTTGAACATTTGGAAAAGAAGAAATAAGGCAAAAGTTACTCACAAACCTATAACTTAACATTTGATGTAATTTTTCTCACCTTATTCTGCATATAAAGTGTTTCTTAAATATAGAATAAATGATACAATTCACTTAGTATTTTCTATATCACTAAACATTCTTTGAAAAAATGTTTTAATGGCTCTTCAAGGGTTTATGACATAAATGCATCATACTTCATTTAACCATTACCTTCATGGGATAAATCAACTGTTTTATTATAAATAACTATGAACATCTTTTTTCATAAACAGTTGTCTCTAATCCTTCTGAATAAATAGAACTAAAAGTAGAACTAATATGTCAAAATACATAAATATCTATAAGTCCTTGTTACATATTGTCAAACTGCCTTCCAGATGATTTGTACTATTTATATGAGGGTCATATTTTACCACACCCTCACCAACATTAAATATTATCATTTTTTAAAAAAACAGTGTTGGGACTTCCCTGCTGGTCCAATGGTTGAGAATCTGTCATCCAATGCAGGGGACAGGGTTTGATCAGGGAACTAAGATCCACATGCTACAGGGCAAATAAGGCAGTGCCACAACTACTGAGCTCTAGAGCCTGCGAGCCACAACCAGAGAAGCCCACATGTCACAACACGGACCCACTGTAGTCACACACACACACACAGAACAATAAAAAGTTAAAAAAAAATAAAGGGCTAATTTGATAAGTTAAAACTGCCATACTGTTTTCATTTTTTATTACCAGTGAATTTGAATGTTTATATATACTAATTTACCACCAATATTTTATTCTCCTATGACCTGTCTACACATAACATACCCATTTTTCTCTGTGGCCTTAATATTTTTCTCATTGATTTGTATGAACTCTGTTAAGGTTACTGAATGTCACTATTTGTGACAAATAATTTTCACAGCTTGTTATTTATCTTTTAATTTGACATTGTTTTAAATATGTAAATACTAGTATCTGTTTATATTAAAATATGACTCCCTTTCTGTTTTCATTTCTTTCTATGTTTTCGTGCTTAGAAAATGCTTCTAATTCAGAAATCAGATGAATACTCACTAGATTTCTGCTGGATATCTTATGGCTTCACTTTTTTAAATCCTCTTTTAAAAAATATGGTATGCTGCTTGTTTTTAAAACTGAATAAAACATTTTCTTAATGACTCAGGCAGGGTTATATTTATGAACAGTGTTTAAAGTTTTGTGTCACAAGACAAAATACTCCCAGGCACCACTGAAATGGTAGAGAGAATATTCCCCATTCTCTGAGACCTCAGACTCTATGATTTGCTAGTTCTGTGGCTGATTTTCAATTTTGATCTCTTCTCTGACATTAGGCTTTTAGCTTTCCTCCCCTATTGTAGATGCGATTGTGTCTACTGTCCACCACTCACCATGTTCCCTACTTTAAAAGCTCATACATAGAATAACTGTAATTGTATTACCATGAACTAATGATATGTATAGTTGAGCCTGGGTGTGGAAGGCAGAATGGCCTCGCAAAGGGATCCATGGGCTTCCCAGGTAGCCTGAGTGGAAAGAACCTGCCTGCCAATGTAGGAGACTTAACAGAAGTGGGTTCAATCCCTGCGTCAGGGAATATGCCCTGGAAGAGGGCACTGCAACCCACTTCAGTATTCTTGCCTGGAGAATTCCATGGGCAGAGGAGCCTGGTGGGCTACAGTCCATAGGGTCACAGAGTCAGACACAACTGAAGTGACAACACAAAGGTGTTCATGTCCTAATTCCTAGAGACTGTATATTCAATATACTGTGCTAAACAGCAAAGGAAAATTAAGATTTCTGATCAGCTGACCTGGAGAAGTGGAGATTATTCTGAACTACTGGTTGGGCTCAGTGTAATCACAGGGGTACTCAGAAGCGAAACATGGAGGTAAGAGAGTCAGCGTCAGAATGATTTGATAAGAGAAAGACTTGACCAGCCATTGCTGGCTTTGATGATGGAAGGGAGCCACAAACCAAGGAATTCAGGCAGCTAGAAGTGAAAACTGGAAAAGGCAAGCAAGCGGCTTCTCCCTGAGAACCTCCAGAAAGGAATGCAGTGTTCCTGACAGCTTGATTCTAGTCTAATGAGACCCATTTCAAACTTCTGACCCCCAAAATTATAAGACAATGAATCTGTGTTGTTTTAAGTCATGAAACTTTGTGTGATTTGTTACAACAGCAATAAGAAAATAACACGGGGCCTAGAAGTCTATTAAACAGAAAGAAATCACACGGGCTTCAGTGCATGACCTTGACGTCTGCTATTTTGGCTGCTCTGAGGTTTTATTTCCACTACTCTCCCTCCCAATTATTTGCATGATTGCTGGAAATCCAACCTACATCTAGATCAGAGGCTAAGTAGGGCATTTTTATTTTACAAGAATTAGCCCCTACGAATTAAGTTGCAAATATTGGGTCAAACAGTGAAGTAGAAGGAAGCTGCAGAGACACAGCATTTTTCAAGTTTTTCAGAGAAATCACAAGGCTGGACTGTCTGCACAGTTTGGAAGGAAGACCATCCAAGAGAAGGTCATGACCTCTGGACTGGGTGAGAGCATCATGGTTTAATTAGCATCTGCACTGAGTCAGATAACCATCTCTGTCTTTAGGTAAAATCCCCTCTGTCTCTAAAATACTGGGTACTTCAAGAGCAAGCAATGCAAGCAATCCACATAGCAGAGTCTTCTGGGCAGTAGGGCTGGGAGATTAAACGGATTCTGTGCCACCAAGAGCACTGGATCCAGACTGAATGACAGAGCACAAACTAAGTCAATAAAAACTCAGGTGCTCCTCAAGAATAGTTCACAAATAAGAATAAGGGAGGATCATGGAAGAAGGACCTGCACTGGGCAAAGGGAACTTGCCTCTAAAATGCATCAAGGTATTTCCCCAGTGGTGTAAGTAAAGACTGCACTTAGATAATTTGTTGTAATAGATGTTGAATAAGAATCTGGAGCATGTTATCTCTGTATTCCTAATGTCTACCACAGTGTCCTACATGTAGTAAATACTCAGTAAATTCTTGTTATAAGAATGAACAAATGTATGAATTTAGTAATCCTCTGCCATTTTTAAATCCCACTCCAGGGCTAGTAACAAAGACCTAATAAAAGTTTTCAATCTTAACATAAAAGACTAATATTTACATGCAGCCCTACTCAAGTTAACTTAGGATGTAAAAAAAGTACTTTATTAAAATATTGGAATTCTTTTTATCCCAAGGGAGGGAAAAAATTGACTTTCTCTGAGCTATAAGCTTTGGGGTGACAGTTGAGAAAGAAAAGCAAAATGGTTAAAGGTAGAGAATAATAGTTATAGAATAGTGTCATAATTTAAACTGTAGTTTTAATAACTTAATGCATGTACAGCATTTAGAGATTAGCATCTGATGTAAATGCCCTCAAGAGATTAGGACTATGATTTTATTCTTTAACATTTTCACATGCTCTCCAATGATTAAAAGGCAATGCTCAGAAAAAATAACCCAAAACCATTATTAAATAAGGTCAAAGAATATATAGGTTTGTTAATTTATTAGAAAGAAAAGTAACTAATGGATGATGACAAGACTATCTTTACATGTACACACTGACATTCTCATACAAAAATGTATAATTACATGTATACACTGACATTCTCATACAAAAATGAGAATATTGATTTAAACATATTTTCTTGACTGTGTTCATTACTTAAGGGATCACATAGTGAATCTACTTCTAAAGTAAAGAATACTTCTTCAAGGTGGTATTAATACTGTAAATTTTGAACATGTTGGTTTTTTTAATATAAATAGGACACTTTAGGATAAGTAAACCAAAGAAGAGGCTTAACTCAGGTCAAGAAACATGAGCACCAAGATGAAAGGTAACATGCAGATCAGATATATAAGGCAATGCTGATTAAGCCATATCCTTAAGGCAATACAATTCACTTTCAAAGTACTTATTGGGGCATTTGAAGACTCATAAGGAACTAACAGCCATCCTAGACCCAAAAGTAAGAAAAGATCAATCTTTCAAAAAAAGAAAATAAAAAACATAAACCAATTAAAAAAAGAAAACTCCCTCCCAATTAGGAGCTTTGATTCCATGCTTGCTGTGATGGAGGAGAGCTGTCAGATTCATTTGCTGTCATCAAGAAAGTAACAGGATGGGTATGGACCCAAAGGTGTCAGTGTAGACTAACTAAGTGATCTACATTGAAAACGAATGACTGGGTAGTTTTCTCCTCTCTTGATTATCAAAGAAAGGTGGTAAATGTACAACTGTAAGACCACTGAGTCAGAGTTATTCCAGTACTTTCCTCTTTCCAAAGTCCCGGACATGTCAATAACCTGAGTCCTTGTTCTTGACAGAAATGCTAATACCGAGACCTAAATGATGCCATTTGGGGCCCAAATTGATTTTACAATTAACTGATGTGAGCACCATTTTCCAGCTCACATTTGTGGAAACTTACAAAGAAAACAGTAGGTTCTTTTGTTTTTCCAAAAAAAAAAAAACTTTTGGGCCCTTGGAAAAGAAGTTGCTGATATGGCAGCTAGTATGGGTTCACTGATAGTTATGCCAACCAACTGCACTTTGCTTGGTTGGTGCTTGGTTGGTTTAGTGAAAGGAACAGCATAGACACTGTGTACCTTGATTTCAGCAATGTTTGACAAGGTCTCTCATAATGAACTTGTATTAACAGAAGTTGTGGCCTGGAGAGTAGAACAGCTGATGGACTATTCTTTCAATGGCCAAGGAATGTTGAGTAGTGAGCTCACCAGGAGGGAGTCTCTCTTCTTAATGCTTCAAGGGAATATCATCTTAATATTTTTATAAAATATTCAGATGAAGCCTGGATTAGACTCCCCAGCATGCTTACTACCACTGGGAAGAATTATCCATTGATGATCATGACAGCAACCCGGCAAAGGGAAGAGAGGAGCCCCCAGGAGCATTATTATTAATAATCTGGGCCCTTGGGAGGTGTTTTCCAAATCTGCCTGCATATCAGAAACACCTGGGACCGTGTTGAAAAATATGAACATTCAAGGCCTTGCTTCAGACCTACTTAACAAAATTTCAAGTGATAAAGTCCTGGCATTTGTATTATAAAAAAAAAAAAAAAAAAATTCAAGGCCTTGCTTCAGACCTACTTAACAAAATTTCAAGTGATAAAGTCCTGGCATTTGTATTATAAAAAAAAAAAAAAAAAGACTACCAAGGAGATTCAGAGGCAATCAGTCCAACTCCAAACTTTCAGAACCACTGCATCAAGGGTGTTTAGTAAAAGTTTTCCCAGGGTTATAAATGGTCCCTACCTGGTAGTCTAGAGATCTTCATGGGCTTTTGAATTACGAGAAAATCCCTCCCTACTCTCCGGCTCCATCCATCCTTTACTCTTCTTCATAGGGCAGGGCAGGGGAGAGGAGGAGCATAGCATCTAGTAAAGAAAGCACAGATTGATGTCAGCCAGATTTGGAGTCAAGCCTTGCTTGTGTGACCTACCGCCTGTGCAAAGGGATCTATGCCTCCATTGCCTCATCTTAAATTGCAAGGATTTAGTGAGACACACATGTAAATTTCTGCCTGGTACATAGGTTGTCAGTTAATGCCAGCTATTATTATTAATAGAGTGTTCGGCAAAGTCCTCAGTTCTGTGGATCTGAAGGCTGCATTTTTAGAAAAACATGCCTTTTTTAATATTTATTTTTATTTATTTATTTGGCTGTGCCAGGTCTTGGTTGCGTCATGTGAGATCTTTGATTTTCATTGCAGCATGTCAGAATCAAACCTGGGCTCCCTGCAATGGGAGCTTGATCTAGCCACTGGACCACAAGGGAAGTCCCAGAATATGCCTTTTCTGCAGCCCTGTCCAGAGAAGGAAAGAAGCCACCATATACCGACTATCAACTGTGTGCTGGGCACAAGGTCTGTCTCAGATCTAATCTGATTTCCTTCCTTGTCACCAAAACCCTCATTTTTGCACATGAGGAACTTGAGGCTCAGAGAGGTTAAATGACTTCCCCAAGTCACCCAGCTAGAAAGGGTCAGACACCAATAATTTGGCTAATAAACTTGCACTGAGGTTTCCCCATGGCACTTTTGTAATGGTTAATATAAGGAGTGGAGAAAGCGTTGCCCTTTAAAAAATCTAAAGAGAGACATTTTGAAACTGCGAGGGAGGGGGGAAGTCACACCACCTACATTCCCCATTATCTGAACACTCAGCAATTAGCCAGAGGAAAAGCCCTACAAACAGGTGGTTATTGCTCACTGCTTTCCCTCTTTTTCACACACACACACACACACACACACACACACCCCACAAAGATCCTTGTCCACTTTGTTTAAAATTATAATATCTCCCCCATACCACCCTTATTTCTTCCCTTGCTTTATTTTTCTTCTTATCCCTTAGTCACTATCTCACATATTGTCACTTTGGTTATTTATGTTCTTTATTGGGACTCTTCCCCCCTAGAGGGTTAGCTTCTTGAGGGAAGGAATTTTTGTCTGTTTTGTTTATTCCAACATACACATGCCTAGAACAGGGAGGCACACATTGATACTCAACAAATGTCTGTGGCATCAATGAATGAATGGATGGATGAATGAATAAAAAGTCTTAAATAAAGTATCAATCATAAGAGTTGAAAGTAATTATAATCTTTTTAAATAGCTGCATTGTTCTGGTTTTTTGTTATAAATATGTATTATTTTGTCCAGGTTATTAATGATTTAAAGCTGAAGTGAGAACAAAGATTGGACTGGGGTTATCTTCTCAAGGCCTGATGTGATGGATGTTTTCCACGGGCCCCTCAAATCCACACTCCATCCTTCCTCACTGCTCTATGCACTGGGATGTTGACCTCTTTGGACTAAATCATCAGGCTCTTTGGACCTCTCATTTCCAGCTGGGGAAAGAACGAGGCTCGGCTATTTTTCACCAGGCTCTCGTTGCTGCAGATGGACTGTGTCCCTCTACTGGAGGCCCCAGTACATCAGGCACCTTCTCCTCACCCCTAATCTCTCTAGGTTCTATAACTGCTCCCACTCTTGTCTCCCTCAGGCCAAGGAATGTAACAGCTCTCCATTTTGCATGACCTGGAATGCTTCGCTTCCTTTGCTGGGTTATCTCAACTCTGCCCACACCTTTTAAATAGTGCCCTTATTAAATTTTCCTCAATTACCCAGTTAGGTATGCCACCAGTTCCTTATTGGATTTCTGACTGATAGAAAATGGGGATTGTGCTCACAGTTAGAAGAGCTGAATCCTAATATCAGTTTCACTACTGGTTTGCTCAAGGCTAACCAACCACAGTTCCTTCATCTGAAAACTAAAAAAATTAGGCAAGACAACCTCCAAAATTCTGTGATTCTTAAGCCCTTTGCATAGAGAGCCAAGTAGTTACTTCCCCACTGGTTAGAAAGTGTTAACTTGATCCAGATTCTGAAAAGGACCAGTTTTCCAGGAACTTAGTCACAAGGATTGTAGCTATACTGCTCATGATAAAGCTGAGCTCGGCAATTATAAAGCCAGAAAAATCCAGGCCCATCTTTGCCCTCACTACAGCTTAAAATCAGTAATTTCCTGGAAAATTGAGGCTACAATTTTTAAACTATTATTATAAAAATAACACATATTTATAGGAGAAAAATAAGAATTTGCAGCTATGTAAGAGGATATCAAGCCAGTCAATCCTAAAGAAAATCAATCCTGAATATTCATTGGAAGGACTAATGCTGAAGCTGAAGTTCAGCCCCAATACTTTGGCCACCTGATGCGAAGAGTTGACTCATTAGAAAAGACCCTGATGCTAGGAAAGACTGATGGCTAAAGGAGAAGTGGATGGCAAAGGCTGAGATGGTTAGGTAGCATCACTGACTCAATGGACATGAATTTGAGCAAACTCTGGGAGATAGTGGAGGACAAAGGAGCTTGGTGTGCTGCAGTCCCTGGGGTCACAAAGAGACACAACTTAGCAGCTGAACAACAACAAAGAGATGACTATTACTTTCAACATTTACAGTTGACACCTTTCAAGATTTTTTTCCTTTTCACTTAGTTATTCCACAAATATTTACTGAATACCAGTATATGCCTAGCTTCTAGGCATGTGCATAGTGTTGCATTATTGTGAAGTGGTTGTGCAGCCAAACCAGAGTTCTGGATGATGCTTCAGTTCTCCACTTTGCCTAAGTATAACATCTAAAGAATTATGTAATTCCTGTTCTTTGGGCAGTGGGTACACATGACACTTAAGTTCCCAGAGGGCGAATTTCTTTTTGCCTTTGGTCTGTTAGGACCAAGTTGAACCTTTCTGCCCTTTGACTTAGCTTCCTTGTCTTAGACACAGCTTTTGCCAGAAAGCTTTCTCTATCACCAAACCAAAATCGTCAACAATAAAAACAAATGAGGAATAGAAAGACCCTTCCAGGAAGTGGGAATTATTTATCCAAATAACACTGGGGGTTTTGGAGTAGTATCTTTGAAAGTCAGAGTAGGTTCAAGGCAGTGAACACCTTCATCTGGTGTGACTGGAAAAGTAGACCTGCGCAAGCTGAAGAAGCCGCACACACTACTAGCTATGGACAGCAGTAGGATAGGGCTCTCTGACTCCTATCTTCACTTCACCTCATCTTCACCAGTGAAGGACAGTTTTGTTTTATTTTGAAAAACACTACACCAACGTTATATTCTGAGAAGCAATAAGATTAGCAAAAAGTGCATTTGTCTATCTTACTGACATTCTATTAATATTTGAAGACTATCAAAGACCTAGGCTTACTTCAATGAGAGCAGAAAAGAGCTAGCATGGTCCCACAAGGTTGAAATCAGGAATGATTATCACCCCATTTCGACCATTCAAGGCTTCTCAGAAGGCAAATATACTCACTGCTGGAAAGGTGTCTGTAACATAATAATGGTTCATGAAATTTTGTTAATAAATTAATGAGTGAATAAATTACTCTTAGTTCAGTTCAGTTCAGACGTTCAGTCATGTCTGACTCTTTGTGACCCCATGAACCACAGAACGCCAGGCCACCCTGTCCATCACCAACTCCTGGAGTTTACACAAACTCATGCTCATTGAGTCAGTGATGCCATCCAATCAATTCACCCTCTGTCATCCCCTTCTCTTCCGGCCCTCAGTCTTTCACAGATCAGGGTCTTTTCCAATGAGTCAGCTCTTCACATCAGGTGGTCAAACTGCTGGAGTTTAAGCTTCAACATCAGTCCTTCCAATGAACACCCAGGACCGATCTCCTTTAGGATGGGCTGGTTGGATCTCCTTGCAGTCCAAGGGACTCTCAAGAGTCTTCTCCAACACCACAATTAAAAAGTATCAATTCTTCAGCGCTCAGCTTTCTTTACAACTCTCACATCCATACACGACTACTGGAAAAACCATAGCCTTGATTAGATGGACCTTTGTTGACAAAGTAATTTCTCTGCTTTTTAATATGCTGTCTAGGTTGGTCGTAATTTTCCTTCCAAGGAGTAAGCATTTTTTAATTTCATGGCTACAATCACCATCTGCAGTGATTTTGGAGCCCCCCCCCAAAAAAAAGTCAGCCACTGTTTCCCCGTCTGTTTCCCATGAAGTGATGGGACCAGATGCCATGACCTTAGTTTTCTGAATGTTGAGCTTTAAGCCAACTTTTTCACTCTCCTCTTTCACTTTCATCAAGAGGCTTTTTAGTTCCTCTTCACTTTCTGCCATAAGGGTGGTGTCATCTGCATATCTGAGGTTATTGATATTTCTCCC